CAAGGAAAAACCACAAAGGAAAACCAACCAACTAGAATAGAACAATAAGATAGGCTCTGTTCAGGCAATGCCCCAGTTAGCACACAGAGCAATATTAGACAAGTCCGACCAGTTGAAAGCTTTGCCCACCAGCCGAATATGGATGGTCTCTTTGATATCACCTAGCACTTCTTCCTTCGACCTTGCTCTATTCCCAAACAATCTGCCATTCCTTTCCTTTCATATACCATAAATGTGCCCAGACCAAGCAAGCTTAAGGATTTCCATAATGAGGGACTTACTGTTGAATAATAGGAAAGCCCAAGCCAGTTCACCCTCCCAGTTACAAGCTTCATGAGAAATGCAACATAGTTAGAGAATGGATCCCAAAAGCTCCTTAGCAAATTGGCACTCAAAGAATATATGGTCCCTTGTCTCTGCCTCCTCACCACACAGCAAACATTTATCCGATTCTATGGCTAAGCCCATACGCAGGAGCCTTACCCGAGTAGGTAGTCTGTTCAGAATGGCCATCCAGGCAATAATACTATGCTTGGGAATATGTCTTGAGAACCAGGCTAAATGGTGCCAAGGAACCTTGGGTGCTGGGGAGCGCAGTTTGTCCCAAATATATCTCGTGCTAACCTCTTGGACTTGACCCACAAAGATGAGAGCAACTTTTGGCCTAATTTTCAGCAAGTATTTGAAGCTCCAGCTAGCATTCTTAGGGACTTCCATCTGCCAGAAGTCATCATTTCTTATAACGTAAGAGTGCATCCACACCACCCAAAGAGAGCCATCATTAGCCAGAAGCTTTCTAATTAACTGAACAAAACAAGATTTGTTCTAACCTCCTACATCATGAATCCCCAATCCACCTTTAGATTTCAGCAAACAAATAGTTTTCCAACTCACTTGTACACCTTTGGTAGGGGCATAAGACCCTTTCCAGAGGAAACGAGAGCACAACTACTCAACCATCTTGATAATTGCTTGAGGGAGTATAAGATGCCTGCTCCAGTAGCTTGAAATACTGAGCAAAACAAAACGAACAAGTTGTAATCGACCAACAAAGTTGAGATGCTTGTTGACCCACGATCTAAGCTTTGTTCTAATTTTATCGATAAAACCTTGGCAATCTTTCACAGCCAATTTCCTGGTAACTAGCGGGACTCCCAAATATCTCACTGGGAGGCTACCCAACTTGAAACCAGTGCTCTCCTTGATGATACTAATCTGCTCATCAAGAATGCCTGTAGCATACATCTCACACTTGTTGGCATTTAGCTTCAGCCCTGATATGGAATAGAAGTGTTCCAGCACATCATGCACTCCCATGACAGAATCAATGGTACCCTTGCAAAAAATGAGGATGTCATACGCAAAACAGAGGTGGGTGAGCCCAATCCTCTTGCACTTAGGATGATAGCTAAAGATACCCTTTGTAGCTGCCATATTTAGAAGATTAGACAAGACATTCATTGCTAGGACAAATATGTAGGGTGATAGGGGATCACCATGTCTCACTCCTCTAGCTCCTTTAAAATATCCAACAAGACTACCATTGAAAACAATGTAGTATCTAGGATTTGCAAAAAAGGTCCATATCCAGCCTATGAACTTCTCAGGCAGCCCTATGTCATGCAAGATCACATCAATAAAACCCCAACTTAAGGAATCAAAAGCCTTTTACAGGTCTATCTTAAGGGTACATCTAGGGTATATCTTACTTTTAGAGTAACCCCTAACAATTTCCTGTGCAAGAAGGGTATTGTCTACTATGCTTCCCCCTTTCACAAATGCAATTTGATTCAAAGAGACCATATCAGGGAAGACCGAAGAGATCCGATTCACTAAATTTTTTGTAATCGTTTTGTAAACGACCATGCAACAGGATATGGGCCTAAAGTCCTTCACTAAGCTAGGATTAGAGATTTTAGGGACAAGTACCACAACAGTTGCATTAAATGAATGGAGCATGAAAAAGTGATCGAAACAGTACCTAACTGCTGCTAGGAAATCCTCTCCAACAATAGACCAAGTCCTTTTGAAGAAGAAGGCATTATATCCATCTGGGCCAGGAGACTTATTATTCCATTGTCCCCATAAGGCCTCTTTAATTTCAGCCTCAGAAATATCCCTGCATAAACTTTCTGCTGCTTCACTTGACAAGGAAAAGCCAAGAAGATCCTTGATAATGATAGCAGAACTGGCCTTAACTTCAGGGTCAACCACTCCAAGTTGATTAAAAAAACTAATCACTTCATTTGACATATCATCAAAAGTGTCAAGCCTGACACCACTTTGGTTGTCAAGGAATCTAAATGTACTGTTTTTCATTTTGGTGGCAACCATGGAGTGGAAAAATTGAGTACCTTGATCCCCTCCCTAATTTAATCGAATTTTGCTTTTTGCTTGTAAAACAACAACTCAGCCTGTTCAAGGGTCCTTAACTCATTCTCAATTTCCAGCTCATCATTGATACTCCTTCCAGCAGTAGCAGGATTAAGGTTAGCAAGTTAGAGGATCTTCAATTTTCCTTTTTCTCCTTTATTTGCCCAGATATGTCATTGTAATTATTCCTGTTAAGCTCCTTAAGACGCATTTTCAGCCTCTTGAACTTTAGATAGAGAGTCTGAGCAGGATTAGCTTTGATAGAGGCTTGCCAAGAATCCTTGACTAAGGATATGAAATTAGGATGCATATCCCAGAAATTAAAAAACTTGAACGGTTTGGGCTTGGCAACAGGAACCTCTTTGTGCAACCATACAAGTGATGGGTAGTGGTCAGAATCACCAGGTGCCTGAAACTCAACATCAGAGGCAGCAAAAGCTTCAAACCAATTCGGATTTACAAGAACTCGATCCAGCTTGCGCGCTAAGTAAGTGGCTTGTTGCTTGTTAGTCCAAGTAAACAGTGGACCTGTATAAGGGTGATCAATTAGCCCTAAGTCCTTCACACAGCTTTGAAAGTCAACCATGCCAGTCAAGGTACCAGAGTTGATATGAACAAAACTTTCCTCAGCATTCAGGATGACATTAATATCACCACCAATTAGCCAAGCCCTATTTCCCACAGAGGCTTCCACAGAGCAAAGTTGGGTCCAAAGATATTTACGAATGGAGCCATCGTTCGAGACATATACAACAATAATGAAGAATTCTATACCCCTAAAACAACCTTTGAGGGCGATGCTTTGATAAAAAGAAGAGCTAATGGAGCAAACTACATTAATTTGCCAAAGAACCCAAATTCGACTATTTTCAGTATATCCGTAATTGCAGCAATACTGTCAGTCACCAAACTTACTTGACAGAATAGCTAAGGAGTTATTTTCCTTCACTCTAGTTTCCAGAAGGCAAATGATACTAATCTGATTCTTGACAGCCCAGCTCAGAACCTTTCCTTGCTTTAGGGGGCTATTAAAACCCCTAATATTCCAAAAACAGATTAACATGAAACATATATGGAGGAAGAATCACCCCTATTTCCTCAAGTTTTTTGACTTTATCCACATGCTCTTTCTTTTTCATTTTCAGCTATTGATCAAGTTTAGCTACTCCAATAGAAGCTCATCTCTTCTTTTTACAAGAATCAACAGCAGGGATTTCCATAACACTGTCAGGATCCGAAGAGTTAAGGATATCAAATTTGTTCTTTGAGGCCCCTCTAGTAATCTTACCCTCTTTGGCATGTCTTCCCCTATCTCTTTTAACAAGAGGATTATTCATGTGATCAACTTATTTGGTTATGACAGTGCAACCAATACCCCCTTCAGATACTGTGCTGACATCAACAACATTTTCAATCTGCTTAATCAGATATAGAGTAGCAGTGCAACCTCCATCCAACATTGATTTGGCAGTAACAATACTCTCAACAAGAGACCCATTAATTCCAACATGGTTACTTAGCAAAACATTATTAACTGCAGGAACATTACCCTTGCCAGAACTTTTCCCCTCTGATGTTGTATTAGTGGTGATATCATCACCTAAGGTCCCACCACTAACAGAAGGAACATTCTGTTTTGCATCCTTGACAGGCCCCTTGGCCCTCCATACTTGCTTAATTCTTTTACCCCGAGGGCATAACTTCACAGAGTGGCCAAAACACCCATAATTAGTGCAAGAGCTAGGCATCCAAGGGATTGAGACCCTTATGCTTGCTACTGATTCATCATTCAAAACAAATCAATGCGATCCTGAATTGGAGATCCAACAGTAATTTCAATGCATACTCGAGCGTATTAAAGCATCTCTCGAGCAGCTGTAACAAAGTCCATATAGAGAGGCCTCCCAATGGCGCTTGCAATGTAGCTAAGTCGCCTCATTGAAAAAAGCTCCAGAGGAACATTGTACAAATGAATTCAAATCAGTATTCGACTCAGGTCAAATTGAAGCTCCTTCAAATTAGGTTTTCACTTCCTAAGAAATACCGGTTTATGTTGTACATGCCATGAACCATTGTCTAAAACCCAATCCCTAACAACCGAATTGGCAAATGAAAAAACATATAAATTTTGCCTAGCAAGACTCACCTTAATCGGAGAAGCCTTCCCCCATAGCATCGAGACAGCTCTCTGAATGGATCCAAAAGCTGGAGCTGAACCTATGAATTGTCCAACAAGAGCAAATTTCCACTTCGAAATTCCCTCCTCAAACACATCTTTCGACGGTTTGACTACACATGAGCCCTCTATCACCGCTGGTGGAAAAAATTCTAATTCCTGATCAATCCCCGCCGCAAAAAGCTCACGCCAGTTTATAGCACTATCTTCAGACATAGCCCTGTAAAACCCCCAAAAAATCTTGGCAGAAGAAGAAGAAATGATCACTAGAACATAAGAATTAAGCTTCGTCTTCTCTCACTGTTAGACCAGCTAACATCCACCAAGTGCGAAGTCGGTTGACGAATATAATTTGAATTTTAAAAATAAATTTAATAAAAACTATGAAGTTCAAGAATTAAAGGTTATTTTATTTTAATGAGCTCAACCAAGGTTTGGGTCCTCGGTCCATTAGTATCCCTAAACGACACCGCTGCAAACTAGGGTTTTTTGTGTTTCGTTTTTAGCTGAACTTCCTTCCTCTCTTTCGCCTCCCTTCTCTTTCGTAGCTTCTGCTTTCCTGCACGTGCAACCAGGTCTGTCTTTCTTACCTTTAACCTCCGTTTGATTTCTAAGAAAACCTAACTAAAAACTGGAAAACCTTTACACGAAAACACTAATTATTTTTCTCTTTTTTTATTATTTTTTTAAGATTTGCTTTTGAACTGACAATGGGTGACCGAATGCAGGTAAGGACTAACTCTAGAGAGTGTGAAAATGGTTGAGAAAACGAGGGGAAGAAAGGAAGAAGTGGTGACCAGAGAGTACACCATCAACCTTCACAAGCGCCTTCATGGCTGGTAACACATCTTCTCCTTTTAAAACCCTCATTAATTTGCTTTCGTTTGTGTTGGATTTAATTTTAGCCTGGTTGTAAAATTAGCTCTTTGCTCTATAAAGTTGCTTGCTTGATTTATTATCCATCTAAGTGTTTCGGAGATGTGATCGATCTTATTGCTAATTTATTTGACAATTACATTCTTCAGAGTTAGATGTGTTAAGTGATTGTGAGATTTATGATTCTATGGTTGATTTTTCCCCCTTTGTTCGTTTATGGGTATTAGAGAAAACAGATGGCTCAAAGTGGTGATGTTGACAAAAAGTACATCTTATAGCATATGATATTATTGTTCCCTTTAACAGCAATAGCTTTGTGGAATTATTGTTAAGAATGATTCTGCCTTCGAATAATATAACGTTATTTCTGTAGCTTGTTTGGCAATATGATTAGGACTAGTTTCACATGGTTGCTGTAAAGTGTTTATAATTGTGGAATTAAAATCTAACGTTTAGCATTACTGTAATGATCGGGGAATTAAAATTTTAAAAATACAGCACATTCAAGAAGAAAGCACCCAAGGCTATAAAGGAGATCAGGAAATTTGCAGAAAAGGCCATGGGGACCAAGGATGTGAGAGTTGATGTCAAGCTGAACAAGCACATCTGGAGCAGAGGGATCCGAAGTGTTCCAAGAAGAATCAGGGTCCGAATCGCTCGCAAGAGAAATGACGATGAAGATGCAAAAGAGGAGCTCTACTCTCTAGTAACTGTTGCTGAAATCCCTGCTGAAGGATCGAAGGGTCTAGGCACCAAAGTCATCGATGATGATGATGAGTAATTTATCAAAATCTCTTGTTTACTAAACTTGCATTTTGTGCAATAAGTGTTTGAGCTAGACTTACGATTGTGAGTTTGTGATATTAATTTTCGTTGGATTTTTTTTTGTTTAGATTTTCTTTAGTGCCATGTGATTTGTGAACATAATTGATATGTTTATCTAGAATAACTAAATGTCACCCAGCAGAAAGGGTCTTGCAACAATTGTCGAAGTAAATACCAAAATTGAATGGTTTATTATGGGAGCAAGGAACAGACCATCTTAATCCAACCATTTTAACCCTGAGAAAGAGGTAAATAAGAAAACAATCAAATCACGATAAAGAAAATTGAAAATACGTCGAAAGATAAAAGAAAATGTGTCATAAGTATAGAGAAAATATGTAAATTATTAAAAATAAAAAAGTCAAAGATATACGATATAAAAATAAAAAAAATTATAGACAATCGATGATCAATATGAAAGTTGGTGTTTTCTATCAAATAAAAACAAAAGAAAAAATAAATGGCTATTAGAACATCTTTCAGAAGATGTCATATCGTGTCTTCTAATAGGTTTTCTTCATGAATTAGTTTTTGCTGAGTTAACATTCCCTTTCTTTTTGAAGAACAGTTTCATGAAGAATTCTGTATTTTTTTCATAATGGATAATTACATTCAAAGAGAAATTCTGAATATGAATATACACAAGTTTTTTCCTTGAATGTTTTAATGATCTAAGATATCTGTGATTCCATCATATAATTTGGATTATAGCACCAATACACCATTTCCTCGCAACAATTCTATAAGGACAAAATTGCAGTCCAAAAGTTAAAACATAATAAATAAATAAAAACTAAACAAAGCCGTAATAATCTTCCTTGCACACACTCTTCATCTTTCCCAGTAATTATTTGTCAATTAATCAGCTTTAAAATTCTAAAAAATCCTCCCGTTTTTTCTATTTCATCTGAATTCGCCGATATCTCAAAGCCATCCTCTTTCAACTCTTTAGAATCGTTCGAGTTTGGTATTAGTTGAGGCAAGTTCTCTCGCTCCGAAACTCACCGATATCTCATCTTTTAGGATGCGTTTAATTTACGGAATGTAAGATCACCAATGAGAATAAAATATTATCAGAGAATAGGATTACTATGAATGTTGTATTTTGTGTTAGGTTAGTTTAGTAGTAATGTAAGATTATCGTGTTTGGTTAAAAGAATAAAATATTATTAAAATATGTATTTTACCAAATTATCCTTATTATATATTTATTTTTTAACAAGTTGAATTTTACTATAATATTATTATAGTTGAATTTTACTATAATATTATTATAGTTAATTTATATATTTTCTTTAAAAATTTTAAATTCATAAAACTTATATAATTTTTTTTTACAAAATTGAAAAGATAAATATGTTTAATGAAAGGGTAAAATTTTATTTTAACCCCTGAACTTCAAATAAAATTATAATTATGGATTTTTTTGTAAATCTAAAATAATTTAAGGATAAATTTGTAATTTAACATTAGTAGAATTTTTATTATTCAACGACATAAGAAGGATAATTTTGGGGGGAAAATAATTTAAGAGTATTTTAGTCCAAAACGCTTGTAATCCAACAATATCTAAATGAATGAGTAATCACATTCCCGGTAATATACAAAAAAATACATTATTGGTAATAAAATATTACCTGAAATAAGATTATCGGGCAACCAAACGAGAGAATGAAGATTCCATTCTCCCGTAATATTGAATGCAGTGAACCAAACGGCCCCTTATAAGTCATTTTTGGGTTCTCTTAGGAACTGATAGTCAACTTTTCTACTTGCCAAGGGAAAACAAGGACGAATGAATGTATATAAAAAAAGAACAATGTTTTTTAAAAGAAGTTTGATCGGAATATTCCTGTGTAAATATCTTTTGTTAACTTCTTATTTTTTCGATTCATTTTCTAATTGCAAAGACAGATTTTTTACTCATAATTGGAAAAGAAGTATTTGATGCTTTTTCAATTCATTGTTTTAATATCAGTTAGCTTTTTTATGTTTCTCTTTTAATGGGTATTTTCTAAGGATTCATCTTTTTAATTTCTTGGTATTTAAGGGCTGGCTGGGAAAGTTGTGGACGCTCTGACCGCCAGTTTCTCTGAGTATGACTTTCTTGAAGGTGATGATGGGCAGCATAGAACCATGGTTTCATCCTCAAATCAAAGAATTCCAAGGATTGACCCTTCACTATTGAAACTTAGGCATAGAATTGGAAGGGGACCTTTTGGCGATGTTTGGTTAGCAACTTATCATAGTTCGACAAACGATTATGATCAATACCATGAAGTTGCCATCAAGATGTTGCATCCGGTTAAGCAAGATGATACCAGGACATTGTTGGATAAGTTTGATGATTTATATTCCAAGAGCCATGGTGTGGATTATATTTGTTCTTTACGGGAATTTCTATTATAAGTGGAAAGGTTAGTGTTGCAGCTAATATGGATGATATTGATTCGCTCGACGGAGGCTGGTTCATGATTATCTTGCTGAGAAACTATTTTTCTTATTTTGCCTGCAGATATGTATTGTAATGAAATTTTATGAGGGTTCCATTGCCTTACGTTTTGAGGTGATGTACTCAATAGATGGAGATTATGTCTTTAACTTTCCTTGTTAGCATTCAATGCTTACATCTAACATTTGCAGGTATGGGATCGATTTGGCTCGAGGGATTTTAGAATTGCACTCCAAAGGGATTTTGGTTCTTAACCTTAAACCTTATAACTTTCTTCTTAATGAAACTGATCAAGCTGTTCTAGGGGATATTGGTATTCCATATCTGCTACTGGGAATTAGAGGTCCGATATCATTCGAGACTGAATCATGGGGATTTGCATGCAGTATTGTTGAGATGCTCAATGGAACTGTTCCTTGGCATGGGAAATCAGCTGATGAAATATATGACCTTGTCAGAAAACAGGAGAAGCCACTTATTCCAAGTGGTCTTCCTCCTCCGGTTGAGAAAATTCTTCTTGGCTGCTTCGAGCATGACTTCAGAAACCGTCCTTTGATGAAAGACATATTGCATGTGTTTAAAAGGTTGGTGTCTTTTATGCATATATGGCAGTTTAAGATAGAAATAAGGTCCGTTCTCCATCAACTCCATTCTTCCCATTTCCTCTGTATTGCAATGTATAATATTGTTGTGAATCGTAAATGACAATGTCTATTATTTTCGTATTTATTTCATGTAGCCTACTTGCTTAATATATGTAACTAATTGACCACATGTTCAGCTCAGAGATTGGAGGTGAAGGTGATGGGCGTTGGACAGAACTTGGGAGCACAACTGTGTCGGAAAGAAAAAGTAGCACCACTGGCTATACAGAGATGTTTCTTTCAAAAGATTATTTGCTAGTGGGTGATACAGTGCGTTCCAGAAAGCCACCTAACTCCTGCAAACCTGAAAATATGGATGTTCCGGGAGGAACCGTGGTGGGAGTAGAACATAGCGCAGATCGAGATGGTTTTGTTTTGGTGAGAGTTCATGGCATTCACGATCCATTAAGAGTTAAGGTTTCAACACTAGAGAGGGTCACTTTTGGCTTAGCAGCTGGGGACTGGGTACGCTTGAAGGAAGAAGACAGACGGCACTCATCAGTAGGTATTCTCCATTCCATCGACCGTGAAGGAAGTGTTGCTGTTGGATTCATAGGGTTAGAAACTCTTTGGAAGGGAAGTTCTTCTCAATTTCAGATGGCGGAAACTTTCTGCGTCGGTCAGTTTGTTACACTGAAATCTAATGTGCTTAGTCCGCGCTTTGCATGGCCTCGAAAAAGAGGAGGTACATGGGCTACTGGGAAAATTTGCTGGATCCTGCCAAATGGATGCCTAGTTGTCAAGTTCCCTGTTAGGTTAACTTTTGAAGATGAACTCGGCGATATTTTGGCTGATCCAGCTGAAGTGGAAGTGGTTTCCTTCAAGAATTATCCAGGAGTGTTGAAGAAATATCAACATCTTGAGGACATTCATTGGGCTGTGAGGCCACTTCTGGTTGCATTGGGTGTATTTACAGCAATCAAGGCGGGATCTTTTGTCGGAAAGAGAATTGGGAGGTCGAAAGTGAAGCGACATAGCGGTGTAATTCATAGCGATGTCCAACATATTGATCATACTAGCACCGGCAACCCGACTTGGCTTCCACCACCTGTGGCAAAAATTATTTTCAGGGAAGGTGCTACTCGGTAGTTTCCTGGTCCAGTCCATACAACCAGGAAGCTTCTTTTAACTTTGTTCATTTACTGTACTAAATTTTTGGTGATTTAACTCGACATCTTATTGTAATCATATATACCTTAATCATTTTATGCCAGTAATTTTCAGTTATTCGAATAGCATATCACTTTAATAAAAGTGATATAATTTTATAATTTTTCATAGTCGTATCATTAAAATATTATCGTCATTTACGTATTTTATTCCAAAATTAAATAGAATACCAAAATTTTCTAAATGATGGTAGAAAATGCCAAGTTGCGTTCCTTCTAAAATAAAGGCGTATCACTCTCGTGGTCCCCTTCTGCCCTGTCCCATCTTCGTACCTTCATTTATTATATAGTACTATACACAACTGCACTATTTGAACTTTCTGGGTAAAATACATAAATGGTCACTTAACTTTTAAGGAAATTATATTTTGGTCACTAAACTTTTAAAACTTACAATACAATCACTGAATTTTTAGTTGTTTTCAATAAAGTCCTAACATTACCTCCTGTTGATTTTATCTGACGTGACATGTCACATCCCGTTAACCCTTCTTCTTCGTCAAGCGCTGACTCATCTCATCACTCATCACGTTCTTCCGGTGTCCCCAACAGCCCCAGTCCTGAAATACGCATTGTTTTGCATCCCCACCCAAGGATCCACGCCATTTTTGTTCACCTCCAAGTTCTTCAAGCTCTCCAAGCTGCACCCTTTCTTTTTTTTTATTTTTCTATTCTTTTGCTTTGGTGAGCACCGAGCAACCACTTAACTTTCCTTTCCTCCAAACAAAGACATAACAGAGAAATCAAGATACACTTCTTATGAAACGAGTGAAAATTAAAAGAAAAAAGAACCATGATAATGGAATGGGAAGGCCATCAAGAGAATCAAACTCAGAGAGATGTCGTGAATGTAAATGTGAACAATGGTGGATTGATGTATGTAAAAGTGATGACCGATGAACAGTTGAAGACTCTCAGGAATCAAATTGTTGTTTATGCCTCCATTTGTGAGCAGCTCGATGAGATGCATACTCTCTCTTTCTATTTCTCTCCTTATATGCTTTCATGGTGTCTTTCATTTATGGCTTCTCTCATTTCATATCATGCTCCTTTTCTCTTCCTTCTTGTCATTATCTAAAAGGGTATTGCTCAAAGGTCTTTTTTTTACCAACTTGGGTCTTGTTTCTGATTTGAATGAGTTAAAAATACCCATGTAATGCTTTGTTTGTGAAGTACAATGATTCTTCAGTTATTATAATATAGGCCAAACACAAACCCTTTTTTGGTACTTAAGGTATTGTATTCTTAGCTAATTCTTTGTTTGTGTTGTATGTGACTGAAGCAAGATACTTGATGATGCTGTTAAACTCGGATGCTTGATGTTGTTTATGGTGACTGAAACAATCGTCCCTCTTGCAGGTGGTAGGCTGGGGAACCTCTATTGTGACCCTTTAATGGCGTCTGGTGGGTACAAAATTACTGCTAGGAAGCGGTGGACTCCGACTCCTGTGCAGCTTCAGATTCTGGAACGTATCTTTGATCAGGGGACTGGAACTCCGAGCAAGGAAAAGATCAAAGAGATAGCCTCGGAACTGGGTCTAAGAGAAAGCCTCTGAAAAAAATGTCTATAAATGGTTCCAAAACAGACGGGCTCGGTCTAAGAGAAAGCAACTGGGGTCATCATCCAAGGATCCACGCCATATTTGTTCACCTCCAACTTTTTCAACCTCTCCAAGCTGCATTGCCATATAACATCTTCATTCCTTGGGTGGGGATGCAAAATAGTGCGTATTTCAGGACTGGGATTGTTGGGACTAGAATAACATGATTAGTGATGAGATGAGTCAGCGTTTGCAGAAAGGAGAAGAGAAGAAGGGGATACGGGGATACGGAGGTAGGTATAATTTTAGCGGGTAGTGGACGAGTGTGGATTTATAAAGTGGTATCCGTCGTCGGTGGTAGGCAGGTAATAGATTTGAGACATTACTCACCCCGCATCCGTCCGTCCAGCTAAATATCTATTAAATTTTAGACCATTATGAATTTAGGTGTAATTTTAGAGATTAATTTATAAATTTTAATATTATATAATATATAACATATAATTTAATTAAGAGAAAATCGCCTCAGTGACCAAAAATGCCTTATAATATACGATTTTAACCAATTTTTTTTGGATTTGCCAAAATGACCAACAAAATCGCAACGCGAAATAAAAATCGCAACGCGATCCCCAGAATCGCAAATCAGTTTCCAAAATCGCAACGCGATTCTTAAAAATCGCAATGCGATAGTACAAATTCGCATTGCGATTTTCCAAAATCGCAACGCGAATATGAAAATCGCAACGCGAACACATAAATCGCAACGCGTATCCGTAAATCGCAACGTGTATCCGTAAATCGCAACGCGTATGGGTAAATCGCAATGCGTATCTGTATATCGCAACGCGTATCCGTAAATCGCAACGATAATCCGTAAATCGCAACGAGAATCTGTAAATCGCAACGATAATCCGTAAATCGCAACGAGAATCTGTAAATCACAACACTGAAATTTTGGGTATATAACACTGAAATCATAAACTAAATCCCTAAATCGCAACTCATTCCATCTCCATCTATCACTCTCTCCGGCGACATCCGTTCCTATATCCAACGACATCCTTCCCAATCCGGCAATAGGTTTTAGTTTCGCAGCTCGTCTGTTTAGTAAATTAATTTACAACCATGAAATCATCTAATGTTGATCATGTTTGGATAGATTTGTGTTTTGGAGGGTCATGGGATAATGTTCATGGTGTTTTACAATATATGCCTTTACCCATGAATCTTCAACTAAAATTGTCTTTACAAAAGTTAACTTATGAAACTCTAATGCTACGTGTTTCAAATAAATTGAATTTAGAGCCCCTAAGTGGATTTAGGCTATCTTATCAGAGAAATGGTAAAGTTTATTTGTTAACCGGCAATGAAGATGTTGAACGATTCATTGCTTACATTAGTGTTTCACAAGATGATGTTACATTGTATGTTGTTGAACCTAGAAGTAGTATTGTTGGGTCAGTAGCGGGTAGTAATCAACTAAGTTTTTCTCAAAACCCACAACCTTTCTCTAATCCAAATCCCAATCAACTTTCAGCACCAAATTCCGGTTTTCGTATTGACCAGTTAGACGATGATGAGCCAACAGAAAAAATTGTGAGTACTAGTCAGCATTCGAAATTTGGTCTTGGTCAATATCCGGACTTTGATATTGGTCAATACACGGATTTTGATGATGTTTCAGAAGAAGAAACAGACCCTGCGTGTAATGATTTTGATATTGGTCAATACCCGAATTTTGATGATGAAACAGCCGTTGCCGAAAAATGTATTGTTGATGATAATGAGGAGGAAGTTACGACTGTGAATGAACATGTTGAACATCCATTCTGTAATTCATATAATCCTGAAGAAGAAAAAGAAGAAGAAAAAGTCCCCGAAGAAAAGAAAATGCCACGGGCGTATAACTGGAATATGCCAGAATTACTTCAGATACCGGAAGAAGAGTTGATAAAGAAAGCAATTGATTGTTACACAAAAGTTATTCGTATCAAGAAAGATGATTGTTTTGATACAAAGGAAGACTTGAAGATAGCTTTGTATACGAAATGTGTGGAAGATGGCTATCAACTAAAAGTTAACAAATCAAGCAAAGATCGTTTCGAAACAAGGTGTATGATTGACAAAAACTGTACGTGGCGTATGATTGCAAAGAGAATAAAAGATTGCAAAATGTTTCAAGTTAGGACTTTTATTGATAAACATACATGTTCAAGAACCCAAGTTTTTCCTCACCATAGACAGGCAAACAAAAAGGTGTTGGGTGGTTTTCTGGCTGAGTTAATGTTTTTGAATGGCAAGGTATATCGGGGACATGAAATTATGACTGACATGAATGCTCGGTTCAAGATTAGTATATCATATTCTCAAGCTTGGAGAGCCAAATGTTATGCCTTGGAATTGTTGAGGGGGTCGCCAGAAGCATCGTTTGCCCAACTGCCGGCTTATTGTCACAATTTAAAGCTGAAAAATCCTGGGTCGGTAACTCATATCAAAACAGATAGAGATGGACGCTTTGAGTTGCTGTTTATCGCCATTGGTGCTACGGTTAGTAAATCAATATAATTTTGTTGACTCATTTTTGTTAGTTACATGCATTTCACATTTAAATGATTATATTTCTTGTGTATATTATTTTGTAGATTCGTTCGTTTATTACTTGCATGCGCCCAGTTATTATAGTTGACGGAGCACATTTGAAAGGTCGATACCTTGGAGTAAACTTATTAGCAGTAGCCATGGATGCTAACAATGGGATATTGCCAATAGCTTACGGGGTTGGCAAATCTGAAACCTCTGATTCATGGACATGGTTTATGGGGCATCTTAGGGATTGCATAGGTCCTATTAGCAATCTGACAATCATATCCGATAGGGCAAACTCAATTGACAACGCTGTTAGAAGGTGTTTCCCAGATGCTTTTCATGGACTTTGTGGTGTTCATTTGTATAGAAATCTAAAATCAAGGTCTGCTGGTATAAAAAAGCACAAATGGACATACTGGAAGGCTATAAAAGCTTATCGGGAAGTGGATTTCAATAAGCATATAAATTGTTTAAGACGTGTTTTGCCTCAGTGTGCTCAAACAGTAGAAGATGTCGGGTTTGAAAGATGGTCAAGAGTACATCAACTTGGAGCAAGATATGGTTTCATGACGTCTAATAGTGCAGAATCAATCAACGCTCTAAGTCGTCATTCCCGGAAATTACCCATTACTATGTTAATGGAGTTTTTTCGAGCCTCTATTCAACAGTGGTACTACAAGAAAAGAAACCATGCAGGTATTATTTATTTGAATTCGTAACTTATCATATTTATATATTTTACTAAGTATTGTTTATTTAAATTTACAGGAACATTGGAACATCGTGTTACACCATGGACTGAAAAAAAGATAACGAAACGTGTTGTGAAGTCAACGTCATGGAGAGTTGAACCATGTTCAAACACTTTGTTTCA